AAGTGAGAGGCTTGCCCGCCTGGCCAACCCTGCTGCAAAGCGGAGGTATATAAACATGTACTCCCGGGCGCCTGGGTGGCTCAGCTGGTTCAGCGACTGCCTTCGGCTCAGGTCATGATCCTGGAGTCCCGGGATCGAGTCCCACGTCGGGCTCCCTGCTCAGCGGGGAGTCTGCTTCTCCCTCTGACCCTCTTCCCTCTTGTGCTCTCTATTCTGTCTCTCTCAAATAAATAAATAAAATCTTAAAAAAAAAGCTTTTTAAAAAATAAAAATAAAAAAAAATAAACATGTACTCCCATAGCAACAGATTCAACACATTTGGGGTGATTAAGAAGAGATTTCAGGGGTTGCCTGGGCAGCTCGGTTGGTTAAGCATCTGACTCTCAATCTCAGTTCAGCTCTTGATCTCAGGGTCCTGAGTTCAAGCCCCATGTTGAACTCCACGATGGGCATGGAGTCTACTTAAAAAAAAAAAAAAAAAATTGGGTTTAGAGAATCTTTTGGATCAGAAAATGAATTATAGCACTGTCCAAAAGCTTTTGTTTGGGAAATCATCTATAAAAAGTTTTAATTTCTTTCTCAACTTACAAATGTACACATTTGTAACTAATTTGAGTGTTCTAAATAAACATTTCTGAGTAAAAGACTTTGGAGCACCTACCTAAACCCTCAAATGACCAGGGAAAGTCTTAATGCTAACTGCACAAGACTCAAAAGCACATAACTGCTCCCTTACTTAGTGACTAGCTATTTCTAACTATAATTATGAATAAATAAACTCATCCCACCAAACAAAGACACAAAGTTTAAGTTGAAATAAATTACTGACATCATCACGGGTCTTCTTCTGGCCCAGTCTCTGTGGAATGATGCCATTCAAGCCAGACCCGCCCTCCCTTGCCCCCAAGGTCTCGGCCCTTGTCCTCCTTTCTGCTGCTACCCCATTCTGGCCTCCACCATCACTGCCCTGGCCTCTCCCCGTCCTGCCAACCTCCACACTGCTGCCAAAGTTATTGCTCCCCGAAATGCACCTGGGTCCCACTGTACCCCTGCTTAAAATCATCCAGGTGCCCCCCATGCTTCCAGGAGAAGGCCACACAAGGCCGGCCGGGGTCTGGGCCCGCCTGCCTCACCAGCCTCAACTCCTGCAGTCCTCCTTCCTTCTCTGACGGCACAACCTCTCAGCCACCGTTGCTCCCTGGACTTGCTCGGGCCTGATCCTCACTCAGCTGCCTCAATCTGGAGGGTCCTTTCCTCACCTCCACACCATCAGGTAAAAGCCCGTGACTTTCCAAACTCCTCCACCCCAGCAACTCCTCTGAGATGCCTCTCTGACCCCCAACTGAGTTGGGGGCACTGGCCTGATGCACAATCTTTCCGGGCCGCCCAGCCCACTGCAGCCTGCACTGTAATGAGCTGCCCAGTCTCCTGCATAGGGCTGCGAGCTCCTGAAGAGCGGGGACCCTCTCTAATCTCTACATGCCCAGGTGCTAGACCATGCAGCAAACGAACCAGATCTGCCTGGTGCATTTTTCAGGTAGCTGGGGTGTCCTCTCCTGTTTCACCCCAGCAAGAGATGCAAGTTTACAAACAAGAAGGGAAACATGATTTCATCTACTTAGGCAAATCAAAGGTTTTCACCTCTCGAAGTTTGGGGTTGTTCTTTTTCCAGTGTTCATATAAAAGTTGTTCAGCAATCTGTCAAGAAGACACAAAGCCTGATGTCACTTTTCAAATCCATTCACATTTTGGATAACCCCCAGCGGAAGTCAGCTCAGGCTGAGAGCCCCTCTACCAGCTCGCTGTCCCTGCAGCTGCCCTTCAGACCTCCTGCCCACCTTGCACCCCCGGCTCTGGGAGACACCAGAATGGAACCAGACAGCCCTGACAAATGACTGCCACAATGGTGATGGAAGGGTGCCAAGATCTGATGCTACAGACGGGTCCCAGATGGGACAGATCTGTTGCAAAAGATACAGCAGGCTTCAATACATAGACTGGGGCTCACCATTCCCCACAAGTACTCGGAAGATAAAGTATACCAGTGCCAAGCCTTTGCAGGACCACGGGACTGGAATAAAGACAAAGGACTCAGAAGTGGTGATTTAAGGGGCCAAAGAGAATAGAGGTGGCTCGTGCCAAACACGCATGAAGAACAACGTAGCACAAGCCCCTCCCCCTCCTGGCTCTCCCGTTAACTGCTGGCTCATCAGACCAGAGTGCCCGGAGGTGGCCCCACACGCGCCTCACTGACGGGCTGAGGACACTCCGGCTCTGTTGGCTCCTACGGGGCTAGAAGAAGTTACCAGTTTCCTTTGCTCTTCTCGGGCCGACTTTAGATTGCCGCACCGCTCCCGGATCCTTCCCTCCTGCAAGTCCACGCTGAGCCGCAACGCCTCCAGCTCTCTGGCCAGGAGGTCCTGCTCCTCCAGCAGCAGCTGCCTGAGTCGGTCCCGTCTGCCTTCCAGCTGCTTCCTCGTCTCTTCCTTCATCTTCTCCCGCTGATAGGCATGCATGCTGCGTGGGAAAGAGCCCTCCCTCCGTCAGTCACGCGACGGCCACATGCAGCATGCTCTGCTCTGCTCTGCGGCCAAAGAGGCTGAGGTGGACGTGACACGGTGACACAGGAAAGTGTCTTCCAGCCAAAGTGAAGACAGCAAGTCACAGAACACTATGCGTAACAGAATCTTGGCTTCGCAATAAGAAAATGTACAGTGGTCTCACATATGCACGGAACGACAGTACTAGCTAACACTTGGGCAATTACCATGTACAAGGTACAATATGCCGAATCATAAATCCTACAAAGTAGGTTCTGTTGTAGCCCCACTTCACTGAGGAGGAAACTGAGGCTCATTTATACAGCAAGTGACACAGTCAGGATTTCCAACTAGGTCTGTCTAACTCCAAAGCCTACCCTTTTACCTTCCATGATTTTTACATATATTTCTGCAACAATGGATGTATATGTGTATGTGTATTTATACACACACAGCAGGGGAAAAGTACAGGAGGATCTGCGTCAGCCTGTTAATTGTGGTTCTCTCTGGGGATAAAGGGTCACCTGGAGACTCCCAGATTCTACATATATTTCTTACTGTTTTCTCTTTTTCAATGCAAATGTATTATTTCACTGATGATCTTTCTCTTCAATTTTCAGTTGGAAAAACATGACCATGCAGGGAATTTATGCCACCCAGCAAATTCCTCAAGAAAACATGCCGTTAAGCCACACTCCCCCACCCCCATCCCCACCCCCTGGGGTTCTTAAAGCCACATGCCATGACCAACAAGTGGCTTCCTGCCTTCATCCCCCTAAGGTCACTGTAGTTACCTCCGCTGGTAGGAGGTCTTGGAGCTCCATTCCGCCTGTTTGGAGCTACAAATATCAGACATCCTGAAGTAGCGGCTGTTCTGGTCCCACTGCTGCCGAAGCCGGGCCTCCTGCTCTCGCTGTCGGGCCATCTGCTGATCCAGGAGCCTCCAGCTGCACCAGTACGAGGGCAGCGTAGGGAGTGCCATCTGAGGATAATGGCAATGGTAGGAAAATCAGCCTGCTGCAGCCCCCTAATGAGTGGTCCTCAGCCTTTGGCCGCCCCCTGGAAACACCCCGCCCCCTGGAATCACCCCGCTCCAGACCAATGACATCAAATACGTCTCAGTGCAGGCCCCCAGGCATCAGCATTTTTCAAATGATTTGCAAATCATCACTTTAAATAAGCCTGGGCTGCACCCAGCTGTGAGCGAGACACCATCAAGGATGCTGCAGATGACAACAGGGGGCCAGTCCTAGCAGTGCTGGCCCAAACACCTGGGGACTTCTACGCTCTCCACAAAGTAACAGGGGTAATAATTTCAGGAACGTATATATGTGCCAAGCTTTTGACATATAAGATCTTTTTCATTGTTATAATCCCCCCATTATTTGGCAGGTGGCGACTTGCCCGAGACCACAGAGCCAGGAAGTAGAGGAAATGAAAGGGCTGGGATCCTAATTCATGTGGTGTCAGCCCAGGGCCTGGGCTCTGTGGACAGCAAAAGGCTGCCGTGGGGACCAACAGCCCTGGCTCTGGCAACCCCCAGGGAGAGGCCCACAGCTAGCAGTGTTCTGGATTAGCATGGAGGACACATCCCTCAACTTACAGATGGAGAAACTGAGACCCAGAGAGGAATCGATGTGCCCGGGTCACGGAATAAAATGGGGACACGATGGAGACTTGAAAGCAGAGAGCAGTCTCACTCCAGGCACCTCTTTCCCTGACCCCAGCGCTGCCACGATGGGCAGGGTCTACACAGTGCCTGGCTAGGACAGTACTTATGAAACGTCTGTTGAATAAACGGGTAGGTCTGCGTCCAGGCCAAGTCTCAAGCTCAGTGCTCAGAGCTGGGGGGCAAATAATCTACGTCTATGGACCCCGTTTAGCCTTCGGCTGCCAGTTTACAACCTGTCTTGAAAGCGTGGCAAGGTAGACAGTTTTTTCCTTGCCCTGGAAGCCGCCCGCGGAAAAGCTTTGCACCAGGAATCAAGAAACGAGACTCCGGTCCCGAATCGGGGACATCCTTCTTGCAGCCCCAACGTCCACATATGACAAAAGGGGTTGCAGAGCAAGGCGGCGGACCCAGAGCGCGCAGGGACGGCGGGTCCCCGGACGCCTGCCGCGATTCCCGCCAGCGCGGGGCCACTGCGGCCGGGCGCCGCGGGTCCCCGGCCCCACGCCGGCTCCGGCCGAGCCCACCCTCCGACTCACGTTTCTCCGCGCCCCGGAGTTTCCGAAAAGTGCCCCCGCCGCGCTCCGGCATGCCCCAACCAACGCCGGCCAGTCCCGCCCGGCCGCGCGGCAGCAACAGCGGCCGTTTCCCCGCTCGTTGCCGGGGCAACGGACCGACGACGGGGCGCCGCGAGGGCCAAGCCGCCTCCAGCGCGATACCGGACGCGCGGAGAGAAAAGAGGCTGCGTTTTTTCCTCTGGCGCCCTCTCGTGGGGGACGGGAGATCAATCGGAAACGTCGCTAGTCCCGGAAACAGGGAAGGATGAAGGTAAAAGAATCCTCGCTAGTCCGCAAAATTCAGAACGGTGGTTGCCTGCGGGGGATGAAGGTGAGGGTTGGAGGGGGGAAGGTCGGGGGGACACGGTAGGGGAGGAGACTGTAAGTCAGTGGCTCTCAAGCCTGGCTGCACACGAGGATCCCTTGGGGAGGTCTTAAAAGTCCAGATGCCTTTAAAGAAGAAAAATTAAGTAAATCCAGATGCCCAGACCAAACTCCAGACCAGTCCCATCAGGTTCTCAGGGCCTGAGAGGTTGTCTCGGCTCCCCGGGTGCACTCAGCGTGCAACCAGCTCGCCGAAGAGCTGGCCTAAGTGGATACCAGTTATTGGTATCTATTGTCTTTAGCTTGTGGTGGGTTCAAGGGTGTTCATTCTATTGGTGTTTTATGACTCGCTTGTGTTACATGGATTATTTTATGTGTGAGAAACATAATAAAGGGGCGCCCGCCCGGCTCATTCCGTGGAGCTTGCAACTCCTGAATGTCAGGATTGTGAGTTCGGGCCCCACGTTGGGCGTAAAGCTTAGTTTCCTTTTTTTTTCTTTAAATAAATAAATTTACCTTAAAAAAATAATAAAGACAACTTCACTGATTTTTTTCTTTAAATAAATTTACCTTAAAAAATAATAAAGACAACTTCCTCTTTTCTTTCATTTTCCCATTTTTCATGTTTAATTCTCTTAATTCCTCCCTTCCTTCTTATTCATTTCTCTGTTTTTTCCTGGGTGCAGCATAGCGTCTTGTTGAACATTTTGGCCTCTAGTCCAGCCTCCACCAAGCCAATTGTGGGGCCTTGGGCAGGTCACTTCTCTCTGGGAAATGAGAGTGGTAAAGCAATTGAACAGAGAGACCATTAGACCAGGCAGCTTTGATGCCTTGCTAGCCTAGCAAGCAAACCAAAACCTAACTCAGAATCAAGCCTGGCTGCACACAAGAAATCTGAGAAAATTTAAAAATTTAAAATCCAAAATCCGAGAAAGAATAAACATAAGGACAGCCAACTACAGACAGCCGCCTAGCTATTCCCAAACAAAGCAACTGCATGAGCTGTAGCCAATAAAGTGATTTCCTTGCTTTGCTTCAGCCTCTTCTCTTTAAGAAAGCTCTCCCCCCAGGTCCTGCCTCCTGGCAGAGAGCTCCTACCCACCTTTGGTTTGGTGATACTCCGTTAAAATTGATATATACCCAAATAAACGCTTGAAAATTTTAATGTGTCTCAGTGTACCCTTTAACAAGAGTACCAGCAGTGCTGATTTTTTTAGAATTGCCCTTGTGAGATGAAATGAAGGGTTCAATGGAGAGCAGAGCACCTGGTGCATCTCAGGTAAGTATTCTTTTTCCCCATCTCCCTTTACTTGACTCTTGCTGACTCGGGGTCTGCCCTGCTCCATGCATGAGATTCCCCAGGGTTACCCTCCTGTTGGTCCCTACCCCTTTGGCCAAACTCATGGCCACTTTTCCACATTGTGTCGCCCTCCTCACCCCTCCAATGGGCCAGGGAAGCAGCTACCCACCAGGGTCAGCCCAGCAAAAGAGCCCAATACATAAATGCTTGTTGGTGGGTCTGAGTGTGGTAGGAACTTCAGCAATATGTGAATTGGGGGGGGGGGGAAGAAACATGTGAATTGAGTAGGGGGAGACCTGGCTTAGGTCCTGATTTTGTGCCTCTTGAGTGAAGTCTCCTCTGCTCCCTGAGCCTTTGGTTTTCTTATCTGTATAATTGCCTTAAAGGACAAACAAGCTCCACTAGTGGGACTCCAGCTCCTAGGGCTTGACGGGCCTGGTCCTCAGGCTGTGGTCTCCGGGCCTCTTCTGCTGGACAGCCATCCCCACTGGCCCCCATTTATTCAGCTTCTACCCTCATGATACGTAGCTACCTGTAGCTCATGAAGCATCTTTACAAGTATCTTTTCCTTTGTTCTTCTCAGGACCCCTGTGAGATATTTTATTGTTCCCATGTTATTATTTTTTAAAAGATCTTATTTTTTAAATTTTTTTTAAGATTTATTTATTTTTTTAAAGATTGAAAGAAACCGCATGTGTGCACGAGCAGGGGGAGGGGCAGAGGGAGAGGGAGAAGCAGACTCCCCACTGAGCACAGAGCCCGATGCAGGGCTCGATCCCAGGACCCTGAGATCATGACCTGAGCCAAATTCAAGAGTTGGACGCTTAAACCAACGAAGCCACACAGGCGCCCCAAAAGATTTTAATTTTTTTAAGTAATTTCTATACCCAACTTGGGGCTCGAACTCATGATCCTGAGATCAATGCCGGCATCCAGCACAGGGAAGACTCACCATAAATATTTGTTGAGAATGAATGAGCAGATTCCCTGCTTTTGTGTCCCTTCTTCTTCTCCAAAAGGAAAAGGGAAGCAGAATGTAGACAGAAAGCAAAAAGAAAGACAAAACAGAACTAAAACATTATTTGAATACCATGTGCCAGACGCTTTGGGATGTACTCGCTCCCTTAAGCCTCCCTCCAGCGCGTGGGAGTCCTGCCTCCGCCCTGTACATGAGGGAACTGAGACCCTTGAGAAGGCAAGCCACCCTTTTGAGGTCCCACAGCAAGGACTGTGCGAACCGGGATTCACATGCAACCTCCAGGAGCGTGTGATCCCTCTTCAGACTGCTTTTCCAGGAGCCTGTGACTTGCAGGTGTAGCTCTTAAAAGAGGCCAGCAGATGCGGACCAGCTGTGCCATTTAAAGAGTTCAGCAATATTAAATATTTAGTGACAGGTTGATGACTGTGGCCCACAGGGGGCGGAGAGGGGGAGGCCTGGCACGTGGACGCTGCTCGTGCTGGGTCCTGGACCAGCGCCGTGAGGAAGGCTGTTCTTGGACTTGTGTCTTTGGATGTCCTAGCATGAGAGGAGAAAACATGGCTGGAGAGATGGCGTGACGACACGGGAGCAGCTCCCCATTGTCTGAAGCGTGATGGCGTTGGAGGCCGCCCCGTGCCCTCCCTTAATTAGTAGGTGGCGTTGCCAAGGCACATTGGTCTAAGCTGGGTTTTCACAGGGTTTCAACATCAGCCACGCCTCCGGCTTTTCTCTCCTCACTGGGGCTGGGCTCCCCATACTCCCTGAAGACAACAAGTGCTGCAGGAGACCCTGGGGCTATGGGGCTGCCCATCGGAGCCCCAGGTTGTGTGTTTTAATAATGAGAATAAGAATAATCATAAATGTAGATATCCATGAGAAAAGTAAAAAGGCATCCACCAACAACAGTGGATATCACTAGGGGGCAGGATTCAGGGTGATTTGAATTTTTATTTCTCCCTAGGTTTTTTTTTTTAATTATTTATTTTTTAAAGATTTTATTTATTTATTTGACACAGAGAGACAGAGCGAGAGAGGGAACACAAGCAGGGGGAGTGGGAGAGGGAGAAGCAGGCTTCCCGCGGAGCAGGGAGCCCAATGCAGGGCTTGATGCAGGGCTCGATGCGGGGCTTGATGCAGGGCTTGATCCCAGGACCTGAGATCACGACCTGAGCCGAAGGCAGATGCTCAACCCTCTGAGCCACCCACACGCCCCTGCTCTAGACTTTATGAGGTGCTTTCAGTGATGAGTGGCTCTCAGCCTCGGCTACAGGTCTGAATCACCTAGAGTGATTTTTTTTTTTTTTTAATCCTGTTGCTTGATCCCCGAGACAGAGGTTCTGATGTAATTGGTCAGGTTTGGGGCAGTTTATCTTTTTAATTAAAAACTTTTTTTAAAAGATTTTATTTATTTATTTGAGAGAGAGAGGGCGTGCACGGTTGGGGCGGGGGGCAGAGGGAGACAGAGAAAGAGACTCTCTACTGAGCGGGGAGCTGGTCAAGGGGCTTGATCCCAGGACCCTGAGAGATCATGACCTGAGCTGAAGGCAGATGCTTAACCCACTGAGCCACCCACGTGCCCCTCTTTTTAATTAAAAACGTTTTAATTGAGGAGTGCCTGGGTGGCTCAGTGGTTAAGCATCGGTCTCAGGATCGAGCTCCATGTCCGGCTCCCTGCTCTGCGGGAAGCCTGCTTCTCCCTCTCCCACTCCCCCTGCTTGTGTTCCCTCTCTCACTGTGTCTCTCTCTGTCAAATAAATAAAATTAAATTTAAAAAAATAAAAATAAAAGTAAAAAATTTTTAATGTTTTAATTGAAGAAGAGTGGATACACAATATCATGTTAGTTTTGGGTGCACAATGTAGCCATCCCACAATTGTATATACAACAAAACGAGTGTGGTCACCATCTGTTGCCAAAGTTGTTACAATATTATCGACTGTATTCCCTTTGCTGTACTGATCATCCTGCTGACTGATTTATTTAACTGGAAGCTCATCCATATTTTAAATAAACTGTATTTTAGGATAGTTTTAGATTTACAGAAAAATGCAAAGAGAGTACAGAGAGTTCCATTATACTCAATACTCATTTTTCCATTACTAACATCTTCTGTTCATTAGGTACTTCTGTAGGACAGAAGTCTCACGGGGTTGAGTTCAAGGTGTCGGCGGGGCTGCACTTCTTTCTCCAGGCTTGAGGGGAAAAATGGGTTTCTTTGCCTTCTTCAGGCTTCTAGAGGCTGCCCCATTCCTTGGCTTTCCTCCGTCTTCACAGCTTACAGCGAGGATGCCCCTCTGACCATTCTTCACTAGTCACATCTGCTTGGACTGCAGCTGGGGAAGCTTCTCCACTTCTAAGGATTCATGTACCCACCTGGATAATTCAGGATAACCTCGCCATCTCAAGGTTTCTAACCTTAATCACATCTGCTAAGCCCCTTCTTCCACATAGCCAAGGTAACATATTCACAGCTTCTGGGATCGGGAAGTGGACATCTTTGGAGGTCATCACTCCACCCACCACAGGAGGAAAGGGGGACACTTTTAATTACTGTCATTCAATTTCATCTGGTTTTGTTTTTGTTTTCTGCCCCCCCCCCCCAAAAGAAAGGTACATCACTGCCACATCACTCATCCCTCTGAGCACTCCTGGCACGTGCTTACCTCATTCCTCCCAGTGCGGAGGTCATCGCCCTGAGAGAGACCCGTGCAGGTAAGCCTGCCCTTTCAGGTGTGTGCCCAGGACCTCCCATGCCCACTGATGCACCATCTGTAAATCAGGTGGGCTCATCAGACCCTGTTCCTATGTGCAGAGGGAGCTGCAAAATGGAATCGTGTTCCAGAACCTCCCATTCAGAGCCCTCGGGTAGTTCAGCCTGCTTCTGGCTGCTAGAATATATTCATCTGATGGAATGGCACTGTCTTGGGGATTCCTTTTATTTTTCAAGGCCAAGCCAGTATGAAGGAAGGAGCCTCCGTGCAGCCCTCAATCATTTTGTATCTCTGAGCTTCAATTTTCCCATCTGTGAAATGGGGACGGTAGTACGAGTTTGGTAGTAACAGCTGCCTTAGCCCAGAGCTAGGCACAGTGTCGGGACTTGATAAATGATCCCTGTTGGTGTTACAATGACCCTGATACTGACGGTTTTCTGCATAGCGCCTGCCTCCATAAGGGCTGGGTTCAGTCCCCCGTCTCGGAAAGGAAGGCGCTGGGACATTGTTACTTATTTGCCCATCAGGGGTTGTGATCAATCTAGCCATTCCCCCCAGTTTTCCTGCTCAAGCTGCACCCTGATTGGGGTGGAGTATCCTCCTCTGTGTGCTTTAGGAGGAAATCCTGATGTGTCTAAACCAACAGCGGTGGACCCATGCCCTTATGTGGGAAGGGACGTGGGGCCCAGTTCCACCCAATGACACTTCAGGGGATGTCTGCTGGGTGTTGGGGGGTGGTTGCTGGGTGTTGTCCTATCTGCAGGAGACCCAGGGTACTGCTGCAGCCATATTCCCACCAGGAGGAAGCCCCCTGACCCAGCTGGCTGTGATCATCACAGGGCAGGAGAGAGAAGAATCTGCTCCTTGTTGGTGATATGGTGATATGGTGAGGTCAGAAACAGAATCAGCCCATCCATGGGGCCCCCAACCCCATAGCTTGGGCTTCCTTTTTTTTTTTTTCCTTCTAAGTTTTTCCTTTTATTACTGTTTTATGGTACAGAACAAAAAACATGTAACTTGAGATCTACCCCCTTAAGAAAATTTGTTTTTTTAAAAAAGATTTTATTTATTTGTTTATCAGAGATCGAGAGCAAGAGCACAAGCAGGGGGAGGGGCAGGCAGAAGCAGGCTCCCTGCAGAGCAAGGAGCCCGATGCGGGGATCTATCCCAGGACCCTGGGATCATGACCTGAGCTGAAGGCAGGCACCTAATCAATGGAGCTACCCAGGCATCCCTCCCTTAACAAAGATTTAAGTATACAGTAAAGAATTGTTAATGGATAGAGAAGATGCGGTATATACATATAATGGGCTTCCTTTTTAGAAGATCAACTAAAGAGTCTTCTTGCTTTAAGTCATTTTCTCAGTTACCAGGAAGCATTCCCATCGACAGACTTTTCTAGAGCAGCATTGCTCACAGTTCTATATATATATGAGACACTTAGGGAGGAGGGCGTTAAAATACACTTATAAAATCAACCATTTTTAAGTGTGCAATGCAGTGGCATGAAGTACACTCACAGTGGGGCACCTGGGTGGCTCAGTCGTTAAGCATCTGCCTTCGGCTCAGGTCATGGTTCCAGGGTCCTGGGTTCGAGCCTGCTTCTCCCTCTGCCTCTCCCCCCTGGCTTGTGCTCTCTCTCTCTCAAATAAATAAATAAAACCTTAAAAAAAAAAAAAAAAGGTACACTCACAGTGTTGCGCAACCATCTCCGTGTCCTTCGGCTATTATTTAATGTACAAAATCAGGTTGTGGAAACAGATAATAACAATAATAATACTTACACGGCATGTATCACACTGCGGGCGGGTATGGGTATTTCTGTGACCGAGGTATTACTGGCTTAAAAAGACACCAGAAAACAAAATATTCAAATACCCTTTTCCCTAGACAGGTTGGCAGTTTGCCGAGGCCCACAGAAAGGAGAGGTTGGTGGAAGAATGCTTCCCCCACCTCGCAGGGGTGCAGCAGGGGCCTAGAATAGAGCTTGAATCACTCAGGCTGGTTGCTTTTGCCACAGCCGCATTTCAGAAGACACGGCCCGCTCCGTGTGCAAATAGCACGCCTTCTGGAGAAGAAAATGAATGTGATGTGTGAGACCTTCACTTTTACATTCCGAGTGTAATTCTTTTTTTTTTTTTTTAAAGATTTTATTTATTTGAGAGAGAGAGCAAGAGAGCACAAGAGGGGGGAGGGTCAGGGGGAGAAGCAGACCTCACCATATCACATATCACCATGCTCCCGCCCAGCAGGGAGCCTGATGCGGTACTCGATCCCTGGACTCCGGGATCATGACCCGAGCCGAAGGCAGTCGCCTAACCAACCGAGCCACCCAGGCGCCCCTGAGTGTAATTCCTGAACCACGACAGCCGCTGGAGAACTGATGTCGGAGGTCCCCCACTTCCCCTGCACACCCCCACCCCTACCCTCACCCCCAGGCTGGTTCTCCCTGGGGTTGGGGGGCACCCAAGACCACAGTGGGAGAACCACCTGAGCCAGCTTGGTGGAGCTCACCCCTCACTTTTCACAGGGGGAGCTGAGGCCCAGAGATGGGGAGGGTGTGCCCAAACGGGGTAAGTGGCCTAGCCAGTGTGTCTGGTGAGTGCAGTTGGTGGCCTCAGCGAGCACCTGCTCAGCAGTCATTGGACAGGGACTGTCCCGTGCCCCTGTGACTTTCCTTCTCACAGTGTCTCCAGGAAGTATGGGTTATGGCAACCCCACTTTTCAGATGGAGAAACTGAGGCTTCATGCCGTTGGACAGAGGGCTCTCAGGGCCCGTAGAGGGAGTCAGGGTCCCCATCCCAAAGCCCACACCAGTTCCATTCTGCTGGGCTGTCAGATGTGGTCGCAGTCCACCAAGATGGGGCATCATCAAGATGGCCTTGCATTTTCTGTGACTTTCCTGGACGTGGGTGCACCCACTGGCCACCCCTGGACGGTGGAGAGCTTCTACTTCCTAAGTTCCCAAGTTCAAGGTGACGGGTGGATCATGTCAGAGCAACTCCCTTCTCTGCTTAACTTTGAGCCTTCCTGGGCTCCCCATTTCCCTCTGCCTGAAGCTCACACCATGAGCAAGCCACGGGACCCAGTGTGGTGGTCTGGCCCTTGGCCAGCCTCGCCCACCACACTGGCCTTTCCTTTAACTCCCATGGCCAGTTTCTGCCATGCTGTTCCTTCTGCCTGGAAGGCTCTGCACCACTTCTAACTCCTCTTTATCCTTCAGGTCTCATAAATGCCCTTTTCTCTGGGAAGCCCTCCCTGATCCTCTCTGATGAGGTCAGGTTGCCTGCCTTGGGGCACACTGCATTTTTCCCATAGTGTTCACTGCAGTGGGAAAGAAATGATTTTTTAAAATTAATAACCTGCCCACACTAGACTCTGAATTTCATGAGAGTAGGGACCTCGCTGCCTTGTTCCTACGATGTGTCCCCTGTCTCTGCTGTACTGATTGGTACACAGCAGGTGCTTAATAAATACTGGATGAAGGGCGCCTGGGTGGCTCAGTTGGTTGGGCGACTGCCTTCGGCTCAGGTCATGATCCTGGAGTCCCGGGATCGAATCCTGCACTGGGTTCCCTGCTCAGCAGGGAGTCTGCTTCTCCCTCTGACCCTCTTCCCTCTCGTGCTCTCATTCTCTCTCTCTCAAATAAATAAATAAAATCTTAAAAATAAATAAATAAATACTGGATGAAGGAGTGAGTGAAACTCTGGCCAGGGGGACACTAACTTAAGCACACTTGTAGTGGGGGACACGGGGGCCGGAGCTGGAGGGCCACACCTTTGCCAGAGATGTTTGCCCCCAACCTGGGCCATGTGCCAGGACTGGTTCTTGAAAGCGAGCGCAGTCTTGGTTGAGCAAGCACCTGGGGTGTTCCCAAACTCCTCTACTGAATTTCAAGAACCTTTGTCCCTGGAAAAATCTTCCCTACTTGTCCTGTCTCCTCAGGTGTGCCTCCGCACCACCCTCACCTGGACAACAAAGTGCTCAAGTGACTGGCCTGGGTCCTGGGGGAAGGGCAGCAGGAGTGAGGGACATGCCCCCTCCCCCCAAAGCCACTATTGGAATTAGAAGGTAGAAGGATGTAGAGAGCAAGATGGAGTCACTCATGTCAAGCAGGGGCCTATGCGGAGCAATGATGCCAGCCGTTAAGGGTACCTCGGCTACGAGATATCGCCGGGACCAGCACCAGCTGACCACACTCCAGAGCTGATAACAAGCAGGAGCTGAGCAGGTGGGCCGCCGCCCAAGACTGGCCCAAGACTGATAGAGCCCTTTAAGCGGGAGAGGATTTTGGCAGCAAACTGTCAGACTCTCCAGCCATGACCCCTCTATGCCTGGCCACTTAAAAAAGGCAGCGGCCCCCGAAGGCTCTGCCCGATGGATCCCCCAACAGAACTGAGATCCTTCGCCACTTGAACAGAATAAGAAGAAGCAGTAAGTGCCAAGAGCTGACCCGGGACCAGGCCCAGGTCTCGTCTCAATGGTGCGCCCACAGATTGACTCCGCGTTTTTTCTTTCTTTTTTTTTTCTTCATTAACTTCCTCCCCACTCGATTATCTTGTTTGTTGTGTGACTTGTCGTGTTCTGCTCTGCGTGCCATGTAAGAAGCCGTTAGTCAGGTGGTGAAATGTCATTGAGTTTGGAATCCTGAACCTGCTGTATAATTATGTGAACCTTGCTTTATGACTGAATAAAGCTGACGTTGTGGAAAGACACATTTTGTGTGTGCACCTTCATAGGGTGCTCGTGACAGAGGGAGGGACCTCTGAAATTATCGTGCAAGGCCTCCTCCCTTAACCCTTGGAAAATGAGGCTCAAGGAGGGACATCAAGTCTTGAAACCGATCCACAGAGTTAGAACCAGATCTTAGGTCCCCTGACAGGTGGGCCTGGGGGCCTTCCACTTTCCTGGACTCCCTACTTTTACTCCGAATTTCTGAGAGCTGGGGAGGGCATGTTGATGGTCAGCAACATCACCCTCGGCATCCCCATGGGACCTCTTTCAAGTGCCAAGGTGTGTCCCAGGTGAATCTTTAAATATGCCATCTCCCTGAATATTGTCCTTGGCACTTGGAAGGAAGTGCCATTAGGATCCCCATTTTACAGATGAAGAAGCCGAGGCTCAGAGAGATGATGTCATTTGCCCAAGGTCACACAGCTGGAAGCAGCAGACCTAGGGTTTGATCCTGTGTCTGTCAGACTCCAGAGTCTGTGTTCTTATCTGTTCCCTTGTCTCCTCATGTTCAGATGCTAGATTCAGTGCATGATTTATTCCTATTAAAAAAGGGAGAAGAGGGGCGCCTGGGTGGCTCAGTCAGTAAGCGTCTGCCTTCGGCTCAGGTCATGATCCCGGGGTCCTGGGATCCAGCCCCGCATCAGGCTCCTTGCTCCACGGGGAGCCTGCTTCTCCCTCTCCCACTCCCCCTGCTTGTGTTCCCTCTCTCGCTGTGTCTCTCTCTGTCAAGTAAATAAGTACAATCTTTAAAAAAAAAAAAAGTAAATAAAAAAGGGGGGAGAAGAAGGGCGCCTGGGTGGCTCAGTTGGTTAAGCCGAAGTCTGCTTTCGGCTCAGATCATGATCCTGGGGTCCCAGGATTGAACCCCACGTCTGGCTCCCTGCTCAGTGGGGAGTCTGCTTCTCCCTCGCCCTCTGCCTCTGCCCCGCTCCTTCTCTCTCTGTCTCTCTCTCACTCACTCTCTCAAATAAATAATTTTTAAAAATAAAAAAATTAAAAAGTCTGTGGAATTGAGTGGAATGAAGAAGACTAGCTTTCAATTTCTCTATTTCTCCAAATGACTAACAGTGGTCGTTTGCCATGGTTTGTTGGGTCAGGGACACAATGCTTGGGTCTGCTTGCAGCATTTTCCGCCCGGAGCCCCCCCACCCCCACCCCTCCCTGTATGGGCGCAAGGATGAGGTGGTATTTCTCCCTTTCCTCTACTCTGTGCTGTTTCAATGCCCCCAATACTTTTTCCATCCAGTAACTGAAAAAATGTGCAAATATTGAGCTGCAGTGCGCTGTGCCGTTTTCCGGGGACGGCAGCAAGCGGGCCTGCCCGCGGTGTCGCCTACACGTTAATTAGGGAAAAGCAGCAGACGGGCCCTGGAAACAGCAAGGCGGGTTGGCATGGCGGCTCTTCACACCCAGAGGAGTTGGCTCAACAAAGCCCATTTGGCACATTTAGTCCTGCTGAAAACCTGGCAGTTGGAGAGGTGACATCACTGGAATCAATTACCCCCAGGACTGCCAATCCTGGGTAGAAATAACTCAAGAAATCAATTCATAATAACCACCCCATTCATGGTGGGCTGCCTGCCTGCCAACTTGCCAACTGCCTGATTTACATTAACCCCTTCAACCTCATGACAGAGGGCGTGATGGTGACCTATTGTCCTCCTTTCACTGATGAGACCGTGGGGGCCAAGGGCCGGCCGCCCCAAGATGGGCCACATTGTCATGAAGATGATGGTGGGTTAAAAAGCCATCAAACCCCATCAGCTTAAGGAAAAGCACTTTACCTTCCCCTAGAACTGTCACAAAAGAATTTAGATAGAGGACCTGCTCCGGGAAGAGGGCTAGCACCATATAGAACTGCATTATGGTATGAACAAGGGATGCTGGCCGGGGAGGGACCCAGCAAGGCCACTTTGATCAAAGTCCTCTCTATGTCCCATTGTTTCTGTGCAGCCCAGCAAACGTGTGTTTACCAAATATTTACTTTTTTGTTTTTTAAAGATTTTATTTATTTATTCGACAGAGAGAGACAGCGAGAGAGGGAACACAAGCAGGGGGAGTGGGAGAGGGAGAAGCAGGCTCCCTGCTGAGCAGGGAACCCAACGTGGGGCTCGATCCCAGGACCCTGGGATCATGACCTGATCGAAAGGCAGACGCTTAACCAACGGGGCCACCCAGGCACCACCCCCAATATTTACTCTTTCTTCCTGTGAATTGCATTCCTTCTCTTTGAAGTGCTGGACCCCCTACCCCCTTCTCCTTAGTTCATCATGACACGTACACCTCATTGTACCTGTCTTTGGAATTCCCATGTCTACATGGATTCCCCGTACATACAAAATCAAATCTGACTTTCTCTTAATCTGTTTTGCGTCCATTTGATTCTTTTTTTTTAAAGATTTTATTTATTTATTTGACAGAGAGAGACACAGAGAGAGAGGGAACACAAGCAGGGGGAGTAGAAGAGGGAGAAGCAGGCTTCCCGCTGAGCAGGGAGCCCGATGTGGGGCTCGATCCCAGGACCTTGGGATCATGACCTGAGATGAAGGCAGACGCTTAATGACTGAGCCACCCAGGTGCCCCCATCAATTTGATTCTTGGTCCAACTAGGACCTTGAGGGGACAGGAGGTTCCTGTTCCCCAACAAGACCATGGAGGGTTAGAGAGGGAAAGTGTGGTAGGCTAATGAATGGGTCCCCAAAGAGATGGGCTCCCAATCCCTGGGACCCCTCAATGTGACCTTATGTGGAAAAGGGGTCTTGGCAGATGTGATCGAGTTAAGGATCCTGTGATGGAGGGATTATCCTGCATTATCTGGCTGGGCCCTAACTGCCATCACAAGCACCCTTATAAGACAGAGATGGGGGGGCGCCTGGGTGGCTCAGTTGGTTAAGCGACTGCGTTCAGCTCAGGTCATGATCCTGGAGTCCCGGAATCGAGTCCCACATCGGGCTCCCTGCTCAGCAGGGAGTCTGCTTCTCCCTCTGACCCTTTCCCCTCTCATGCTCTCTCTCTATCTCATTCTCTCTCTCAAATAAATAAATAAAATCTTAAAAAAAAAAAAAGACAGAGATGGGGGGACTGTACACATACCAAGGAAAGCCATGTGAAGACAGAGGCAGATATTGGAGCCATGCAGCCCCAAGCCAAAGGACGCCCAGAGTCCCCAGAAGCTGAAGGGGCAAGGAGCAGATTATCCTCTAGAACTTTCTGAGGGCATGCCGTGCTGTTGACACCTTGATTTTGCCCTGGCGGTACGGATTTCAGATTTCTGGTCTCCAAAACAGAGAGAATAAATTTTTGGTTGTTTTAAACCACCAGACTTGTGGGCCTTTGCAATATAGCAACCCCAGGAAACTCACACAGGAAATGACTTGTCCGTGGCCACCCAGCTAGCAAGTGGAGGTGTTGGGCTTCAAACGCAGTAAATGCTCGGGGCGCCTGGGTGGCTCAGTTGGTTGGGCGACTGCCTTCGGCTCAGGTCATGATCCTGGAGTCCCCGGATCAAGTCCCGCATCGGGCTCCCTGCTCAGCGAGGAGCCTGCTTCTCCCTCTAACCCTCCCCCTCTCATATACTCTCTCTCTCTCTCATTCTCACTCTCTCAAATAAATAAATAAATCTTTAAAAAAAAAAAAACACAGTAAATGCTCAAAAAATAGGACCTGTCGTTATTGTTATCATTACTGTTGCCTGTGGGAAGGCTGAGGATAAAATGTCAAAAAGACCATGGATTTGGCCTACTTTATCCATCCCAACAGATGCCGTTGGGGAGAGACTGTCTGAGTAGCCAGGATTGGATGATTCAGTTTGGGAAGAAGCTATTAACCCTGGGTGGGGCTGGCTTGGGAAGATGATGAAACTGTGTAGGGTGAACACCTCAATGCCCTGAGTCATTTCCAACCACAAGGGTAGACTGCCGCTGGCTAAGCTGGTCGAGCAGATGGGCTTGGGAGGGAGTTTGCAGCTGATGGGACAAGTGGGATGGCCCAACAGTCCAAAGAGATGAGGCAGCTCTTCTGTGTCTGCCTGTATTTCCCCCCATGACACTTTACTTATTGATGATTTCATCCTCTGTTCTCTTTCGTTCAGAGTCAACACTCAACACGTGGCCCCTCCCCTCTTCCTTCCATGTCTCCTCCTTTCACTTCCTTTCCCTTCCCTTCTGTTCTTGAGCCATTCAACCCAAGAGCCATTTGGAGGGTCCCAGCAAGGTAAGCAGCAGCAGTGGGGGAACGGGGAGAGGGTACATGGTTCCCCACAGAGAAAGGTGTCATCGTGCACATGGGGTAAGAAGAGCATCCTCATGGGGTGAGGGGAGCCCAGCATGGGCGGCCAGAGCTCATGCGAGTGAGGAGGGCATCCCCGCAGAAAGGCAACCTGAGCTCCAGTGGGCTGTAAAGGGCATCCTTGTTGGGAAGAGGGTGGCATCGACAGTAAGAAATTGTTGCACTTGGGGCCAAAGAAGCAAACACCCTGAAGACAATAAGAATGTCAGCTTTCTCACTGTTGGACAAGGGCGTTCCCAATGTGGAAATGGGAAGAACAGGACTTAGCCCCATGGACTTAGATTGTAATTGGATCTATTAGGATGAACTCATGGTTTTTTTCTTTGGGTTTTTTTTTTTTAAAGATTTTATTTATTTATTTGTCAGAGAGAGAGAGAGAGCTCCAGCAGGGAGAGTGGCAGGCAGAGGGAGAGGGAGAAGCAGACTCCCCCTGAGCAGGGAGCCCGATGCGGGACTCAATCCCAGGACTCCAGGATCACGACTTGAGCTGAAGGCAGATGCTTAACTGACTGAGCCACCCAGGCGTTCCAAACTCATGGTTTTTAATATAGCAGAGGACTATAGAGACAAATAGAGACAAATATTGACATAAATGTGTGTGTGTGTGTACATGGGTGTGCACACGCGTGTGTAATTCTGTCCACGGAGAGGATCTAGGAGCAGTGACTCCCCAGTAACAGGAAGCACATCTAGATCTTGGTGTCTGAATACTGTTCTCCACTGAAAGGAACTTCGGCATTTTGGAGAAATGGCTGCTTTCAGGCCTAGGGCAGGGAAAGGACAAGATGAGTCTGAAATATGTTTTGCTAGAGAGTAAGGAAATGCTGACAGGATGAGTGACATGTCAAAAGGACACAGAAGCCAGCCTGAAGGGGCCACCACAGGCCAATCTAGGATAACTTGGCACCTAAAGAAAGAATAACAGTAATGTATTGTAACCCATGGAATCATTTACATCGGTCTCTACTGACCTAAATAAATGGAAAGTTTGATGAGACATGGGACATTTACCTGGTCTCCAAGTCCCTCCCTATGGATTATTTATTAGTTTCAACGAGGAAAAGAGCAGATTCACTGCACAGTGGAGAAGCCTAAAAGATACCACCTCTTTCAAGTGATCGAAGTCAACCTTACCAATAGTGGGACAAATTGAAGTCATGTATCATCTGTTACGATGCAACAAGAAAGACACAGCATCACTTCTGTGATAGTTCAGGATGTATAGAATCCACATTCTATCTAATCTAATCTATCTATCTAATCTAAGATGCATGGGATGCCTGGCTGGCTTGGTCAGTAGAGCGTGTGACTCGATCTTGGAGTTGTGTTTGAGCCCCACGTTGGGTGCAGGGATTACTTAAAAAAATAAAATCTAAGATGCATGACCTGAGGGGTGCCTGGGTCAGTTAAGCATCTGACTTCTGCTCAGGTCATGATCTCTGGGTCCTGGGATTGGGCCCCACGTCCGGCTCCCTGCTCAGTCCAGGAGTCTGCTTCTCTCTCTTTCTCTCCCTTTGCCCCTCCTCCATGCTCGTTCTCTCTCTCTCTCAAAATAAAATAAATAAAATCTTAAAAAGAAAAAGATGCATGACCTGAATCTAATTAAGAGAAAACATCAAACATAAACAGAGAGATATTCTCCAAATAACTGCCCTGTCTCTTTAAGAGTATCCAGGTCATAAGAGCCAAAGAAAGAATCAGGAATATTCCGGATTGAAAAAGACTCAAGAGACTTCACAGGACAACTAACTATAGGCAACGTGAGATCCTGAACTGGACCTTTTTGCTACAGAGGACATCATGTGGACAAATGGTGAAACTTGAATGGGTCTGAACTTTAGATGGTAATGATGTATCAGTGTTAATTTCTTGCACTGATGGATGTATTGTGATTCCACTGGAGAACATCCCTGTTTGAAGGAAATACACATTGAAATATTTAGGGTGGTGGGCATTGTATCAACCAACTTCCAATCGCTTCTTGGCCTTTTGGCTAAGATCAAGTGCAACCAACTTCCAGTGGTTCAGGGGTAAAGAGTTATTTGAATTGTATTCGCAACCTCTCTGTAAGTTTGAGATTGTGTCAAAAGAAAAAGAGGAAAAAAATGTTCTGTGTGGCTTACGTAGTGTTTTTTTTTTTTTAATTTGAATTCGTTGCCAACATCTAAAAATCAAGAGATTTTACCTCTAATCTAAGTTTCTGACTTCTTGAGAAATCTGAAATGCTAACAACTGTGGGCAATGAGTGGCCAGGTGAATAGCCACAGTATCCTTTATTTTTTAATATTTTTTTGAAGATTTATTTGCGCATGAGCAGGGTGAGGGGATGGGACCCGGCAATCCGTGTTTTACAATGCCCTCCTGATTCTAGTGTTTATTCAAGTTTGAGAACCACTGATCTCGAGCTTTCCTCCTTTTACTCTTTTTTTTTTAATTTTTTATTGTTATGTTAATCACCATATATTACATCATTAGTTTTTGGTGCAGTGTTCCATGATTCATTGTTTGTTCATAACACCCAGTGCTCCAAAAAATATGGAATGCTTCACGAATTTGCGTGTCATCCTTGCGCAGGGGCCATGCTAATCTTCTCTGTATCGTTCCAATTTTAGTATATGTGCTGCCGAAGCGAGCACTCCTCCTTTTACTCTTCACCAGAACTTTCTGCCAGGGAGATGAGGCGCTAGTAATGAGGAATTATCTGGTATTCCCGGAGGCGGGAGGGTTTGATCATTCTGGACCCTTTCTTCCCAGGAGATCACTGGGAGTCTTAGCTTTCTCCACCTGGTCCTGAGACAGAAGCCTTAGAGCCAGTGAGCTGCCTTGGTTTCCCCAAAGTGATTAGCTTCTTTTTTCTAAAAAAAGATGAATTTAATTTATTTATTTTAGAGAGAGAAAGAAAGCACGAGCAGGGGGGAGGAGCAGAGGGAGAGGGACAAGCAGACTCTTCGCGGAGTGCTGAATCTGACATGGGGCTCGATCTCACGACCCTGAGATCATGACCTGAGCCAAAACCAAGAGTCGGATGCTCAACTGACTGAGCCACCCAGGGACCCCCATAGTGTCCTTTGTTTTTTATGTATTATTTTTTAAGATTTTATTTATTCACTTGAGAGAGAGACAGAGAGCACAAGCAGGGGGAGAGGCAGAGGGAGAGGGAGAAGTTGGTAGCCCGACATGAGGCTGGATCCCAGGACCTGGAGATCATGACATGAGCCGAAGGCAGATGCTTAGGCATCTGAGCCACCCAGGCGCCCCCCCACAGTGCCTGTTAGATGGGTCATGTGACCCCCTACTCCACAGTCCCCATCACCCCTACTCCTCGGTCCCCATCACTCCTTATTGTGTAAATATATGGGCTATAGTATAGCCCATAGCATCCATTTATGCTACCAGCTGGCCCCTGGGATCAGCCCAATCCCTATAATAAGGTATGGGAATCTCCCCAGAGCAGGCATTTAAAACATTTGTTGGATGGATGGATGGATGGGTGGGTAGACGAGATGGGTAGATGGAAAAACTTTTAAACTACTCCATTAACTTGGAGGTATGATCTTTCTCAGCACATGAAATAGTCCATAGCAAGACAATTCTTATAGACTTGAATTTCTTTGTTAGCCATAGTTTCTGGGTGATTTGGCCAGGATGGAGCAAGTTGAGAAATCAGGGTGTCACCTGATGCTGGAGGTCCTCATTGTAGGTTGTAATCTCTCTGTGGAATTGATGGAGGTGTCTGAAATGTGGGTGGAGTACTGGCACTGGGCCAGGGTGCTGGGCAGGATGGCGAGGCTTCAAGGAGATCGTATCTTAGGATGCCTGAGGTGGTGAGGTTGGGTGGGGTGGGAACAAGCCAAAGTGGAAGGCTTGGGCTCCTATCAGTGGGAGATCTGACTTGATGGGGCATGTCAGGGTCTGTGTCATGAGCAAGAATGATGATAGCTTTGTCTCCCTCAGACCCCCTCATTCGTGACTGTGCTTGGGTTATACCCTTGTCTCGGAACAATCTCTTCTCCCATCTGCCCCCTGAAAGATTAAATTAAAAATATTTATTACAGTTTGGCCATTATTTTTTTCTGGCACAAGTGATTTCTCATTGCCCTTAGGATAAAAATCCGAACTCTGTACCACCCCTACCTAACCCAGCATGCCCCTGCTCTCCTCCCTGAGCTAAACTCCTCTCTCTCCACTCCCATTCTCTCCCCTGGTCCCCCGGGGTGCTTGCACACACCAGGCTTTGGGTCACCTTAAGGCTTTGGCGCAGTGTCCAGACACTCTGGCTGTCTCCTACCTCTCCTTCAGGTCTCAGCTCTTCATAGGGACTCATTGCCTCAACCTCCGACCTCCTATTTCCCCCAGTCCTCCTCCGACACTCTGGTGTTCTATTTTCTTTTCTTTTCTTTTTTTTTAAGATTTATTTATTTATTTGAGAGAGAGAGAATGAGAGAGAGAGAGAGAGAGCACATGAGAGGGGGGAGGGTCAGAGGGAGAAGCAGACTCCCCGCCGAGCAGGGAGCCCGATGCGGGACCCGATCCCGGGACTCCGGGATCATGACCTGAGCCGAAGGCAGTCGCTTAACCAACTGAGCCACCCAGGCGCCCTGGTGTTCTATTTTCCTCATTTCTAGTTGTGAGTGTCTGAAATTGTCTTGTTTGTGTATTGTATTGTGTTATCTCCCAAACCAGAATGCCAGCACCAGGAGAGCAGGAATTTTGCTGTACTGTTCATAACTTTTATCCACAATTCCTACCTAGCATAGTGCATGGCACATGGCACAATGAACATTTATTCTGGAATGAATGAAAACCTCTCAATAACTGTGTGCTAGAGTTTTTGGACAAGATGGGTATTGGGTTTTAGGACACAAACGTTTAGGTGGGTTGCAACTCATGTGACTTGTGCTCCAAGTGATGACAAGCAGGTATCCTGGACTGTAGATGTGAGGTTAGGTTTGGGGAAACAAGTGTCCAGTCCGGTGGTGGTTGAGTTGGGCCAGGTTACCATTAGGTAACATCGGACTGTTTAGGTCAGACAAGATCCCAGATTTTGGGAAACAGGAGTCTTAGCTAGGTACGGCTGGGTTAAACTTGTGACTTGAGCAGGGTCCAGTAGGTATTGGTATGATCTTAGATCATTGGAGAAGAATCAGACGTCCCCATTGGTTGTAGCTAAAGAGAACTGTGACCCAAGCAGTGTCCAGCAGGCTACCTGGGGCTGTTGGAGGGCAGGCTCTGTTCTTGAGGAAATAGGTGTCCTCAGGGGCGCTGGCTGCGTTGGGCTGTAAACCTGGGCTGGTATGGGGGTTGTGTTGTGACCTGAGCAGTTCTACGCCCCCATTAGGCGAGGACCCAGCCTGAGTCGGCGCGCCCAGGTTGGGGGCGGAGGGGCAATACGGCGGGAGGCTGCAGGAACACCTGGGAAAGCCTCACCTGGGAGCGGCTCACCTGGGCGGACCTGGACCGGAGAGCCGGCGCGCTTCCACGCCGGACAGGCCGGCCCCGCCCCCCGCCTCCTGCCTCCCGCCCCCCGCCCAATGGCGGCGCGGAGGCCCGCGGCGGCGGGCGCGGATTGGGCAGCCGGCGCGGCGGCGGGCGCGGATTGGCGCGGGCGGGCAGGGGCGGGGCGGCGCGGCGGAACGCTTAGGCGCTCGGCCTGCGGGCGGCGCTGAGTGCTCGGCTACGCGGGGCGCGGCGCGGGCGGAAGTGGTGACGCTGGCGTCCCCGGAGTCTGCGGCGGGCGGCAGTGACGGCCCCAGCGCTGACGGCGGCGGCCCGGGGGGCGGCGTGGACGCCCGCGGCGCCGGCTGGGGCATCACCGCCGGCCTCGACCCCGAAATGGCGCTGCTGGCGGAGCACCTGCTGAAGCCGCTGCCCGCGGACAAGCAGATCGAGACGGGGCCCTTCCTGGAGGCGGTGTCCCACCTGCCGCCCTTCTTCGGTGAGCCGGGGTGAAGGGGGGAGCCGGCCCGCAGCTCTGCCCCGGAGCGCTCCCAGACGCACCCGAACCCCCCATCTCCCGAGCATCCTCCAGCCATCCCTCTCCTAGACACCCCGAATCCTGTTTCCCCAGGCACCCAAGACCCCCTTTCCTTCCAGGCACCCCCAGTTCTCCCTACCCCGGACCACTCCCAGATCCTCTCTCTCTCCAACATGGCACATCCTCCATCTCCTCCCAGACACCCCCAGATGCTCCGTCTCCATTCCATTTCCAGGCACCTCACGTTCCACCGTATCCTTCAGATGCCCCCAGTTCTCCACTTCCTTGGGCTCCCCCAATGGTCCATCTCCCCCAGAAACCCCTCACTCTTCCAAAGCCTCAGTTTCCCAGTCTTCCATCTCCTCGAAAGCATCCCTCCCCCCCACCATTCCCTTCTTCCTTTTCAGAATGACTTTCAACCCCCTCCCCTTAAAATAATCCTCCCATTTCGTAAGCCCTCTCTTTTCCTTATTCTCCTAGCCTCTCCCTCACGGCCCCTGGTGAACCCTTCTTTCCTCAGAATTCCCCCATTCCAGATGCAAGACACCCCACCCCACTCCAAAAGAGAAACGAGGAAGCCAGGAAGGATGAGGAGGAGGGCTTTGAACTTGGGGTTGCAAAACTCTGGCACAGGGGGAACCACCTAAGGTTTTTCCTCCATTGAGAACAGGGGTCAGGACAGGGGAAGCTGTTTTGTGCGGGTGCCATCAGACACGGGGTGCTTGGTGTGGGCTCTAAAAGAAGACCCGTTCCTTGTATGTCAGGCCCAGGAAGGTTGTGGGAGCATGAGGAAGGCAGTCCCTAACCCAGCTTCAGAGCCTCCTTCCTCCCCTCCCTGAGCCCAGCCCAGGCCCTGGATGGAAAATGGGAAACAGAAGACAATACCATCTGCTCCTGCCCTTTGCCTTTCGGGTCCTGGCTAAGGGGTGCAACCTGAACCTCTGCTTTCTTCTCTTCCATGTGGGCTTTCCCAGCACCCTGCCCTGCTGGTGCACTCAGTGGCTTTGTGGAAAGATACCAGCTTCCAGGACAGAGTTAAGCTAAAACCCACAAACTGATAGAACCTTAACACTGACTTGGGACTGAAGAGATCTGGCACCTGGGCTG